CAAATTTTTGAGAATTTATTCATTTTTGATAATTATTCAATGACTTGATAATCAAGCCTTTATAACTCCAAATATAATCAAATACTTCTTTGTGATGGATTTAAGAAATTTAGAATCTGAGTCCCAGCTTTACTTTAATATAGACACTGTATTAATATGGATATTTTAATAGAAGCAAATAATTCAAGTCAAATGATAAAGCTGATTAAGGATCAAGAAACAAGATTTCCCTCACAAGTCATTAATGAAAACCACATAAAGGTGACCATTAATCCAGAGGTATGTGACTTTAAGTAGTATTTTCTCCCTTATATTGTTAAATTATTTTTGACAAGAGAAGGGCAATTATTTACGTTAATATGATTTATTCACAAAATGAATTAGTAATCTGAACATCCTAAGGACAATGGTTTTATGTCAGATTAGCTATGGCATCAATATTTGTTATCAGTATATAATTAAAACTTTGAACAAAAAGGCAAAGCATGCTTTATTAGTTGCAAATTTAATAGATGTATTGTTTCTAGATCAGTTATCTTATATGGATTATCTAAGCAACACATATTGCTATCCTCACAGTGCTTACTTTCTAGAGTGCAGGAAGTGAAGATTATGAACAATGAGTATAATAAATAGGTAAATTGTAAGTTAGAGGATAATTATAGCTATGGAAAAAAGAGGAAATGTATAGATGAGTACAACAGGTAGTGCAAATGAACAGACTCTAATATTAAAAGCAAGGTGTGTCATTGAGAAGGGACATGTGAGCAGTTGACTTGAAGGAGACGCGTGAGATAGTCATGTGACTATTGGGGAAAGAGCATTCCAGGCACAGGGACTGGCTAGAGCACGTTCTAAGGTGGGAGCAAGTCTTGGCTATTTGAGACCATTCCAGGGTTTTGAGCATGGGAGTGACAAGTGCCAGGTAGTGTTTTATAGGTACTGACTCATTTATCCCGTAAACAACCTCATTAGTGCCCTTTTTAATTCCTTCTGAACAAATATGAAAACAGAAGTAGGTAAGTTGCCTAGATCATCCAATTAGTAGGTAGTGAAATTGGATCCAAGTTCTGGCAGTCTGATTCCAGAAGTAAACTCTTCATACTTCAAGCTCCAGGTGCCATGTGAATAGGACACATACATGCACACTTATGTACACACATCATTCAAATGTACACATATGCAAACACACCTACACACTCTAAACGCATACACAAAAGTTTAGGGAGAGCAGAGAGTATAGAAAAGAATTTGGTATCCACACTCTATTCACTCCTCTTGATCCATGTTTTATCTCTTGTATATTTTGCTTGTTAACCATTAAATCAAAACTTATGTTTAAATGAAAGATGTTCCAATTGATTGAATACATCTGGAGTTATTTTCAAAACAGCAAACCAAATTAAATATTCTTAATGTATAAAATAAATGTTGTAAAATATATATACAATTATGCCTATTTATTTTAAACAAAGAGAACAAAGCAGAAACATTCTTATTTAACTGAAACAATGTGCCCTAAGACATTTTATGAGTCTACAGAGAAAAATATAATAGTATTTTTTGGCTAAATATCCAGAAAAATATAGCAAGCTATCATTTAAACTATTTACTTGAGCCGGGCTTGGTGGCTCAGCCTGTAATCCCACGCTTTGGGAGATTGAGGTGAGTGGATTGCCTGACCCCGCGGGTTCGAGACCCACCTGGGCAACTTGGCAAGACGTCATCTCTACAATAAATCAAGAAATTAGCCGGATGTGGTAGCGCGCACCTGTAGTTCCAGCTACTTGGAAGGCTGAGGCGGAAGGATCGTCGGAGCCCACAAGTTGAGGCTGCAGTGACCGGGAGCAGCCACTGCACTCCAGTCTAGGTGACAGAGTAAGACTCCAACTCAAAAAAAAAAAAAACAACCAAAAAAAAAGAAAAAAAAACTCAGACAACCATTTACTTGGAAAGAATTTTGAAATCAATAGAAAGTCATTATATTAATAAATCATGATTTATAACTCACACCTCCAGCCAATAAAGATAAATGTATCACTAGAATTTTTTCTTCTACATTAATTATCTTGATCTTAAAACATAGAAACTATATTAATTTCCTACATATTTTATCACATGAGTTTTTGAAAAATGCTTTTATAATATTGATTGTTATAGGTAAGTCCACATAAATTCTAATTCACACATTTATTCTTAATTTATAGACTAATATACTAAATCTATATGAATGAAAATGAGTAATGATATACAAAATATAATTTCATTCAAACATATAATGAATTATATAAATACTAAGACTTTTAACTCTTGTATATCAGAGTCATGAGTACTGCTTTTAATAAAGCTAGTACTGCTCTACAGACATATTTATTCAATTCAAAAAGTAATTAAATCCAAATTATCAGAAGAAAAATTATCTAACAGTCTACCTCAGTCTTAAAGGTCACTGGTGAAAACAATACTATTTATATCCTTGTAATGAAAAATAAGACATCCTGCCCCAAGATGGTATAAAACCATGTTTCTTATGTATAGTTTCATATTTTAAACTATTCTACAGTTTCCTAACAGCCATGTATATCTAGCAGGAACAGAAAAATAAATATTTCCCCCCGAAGACTCATAACCACCGAGAAATTTCAAGCAAGAAATTCCACATGGCAGATATAGAAGAAGATTGAAGTAAAGTAATGACAAATGATATTCCATATCACTTCCAGAGTCAACATGCTTCATACAAAATCACTTTATTTCTTTTATTTTTTTTTCAGCTGCTATTCTCGCTTCTTGTTCATTCAAATTGCTTAAATCAAACTCTAGACAATATTATTTCTGGCTCTTTTCAAAATCTATCTCTTTGTATCAATCATCCACATAAAAAACAATAATAAATAAAACATTATGTTTCCCATTTTCCACCTCTCTATGCTTAAGGAAATCCAAGAAACTTACCCTATAGAGATTTATTTTTCACTTTGACTCCTGTACACTCTTACTTGACATAACCAAAAGCCAAGACAAGCTCAGAGAACAGAAGTAACTACATTATTGAATAATGAAAAATATTCCCCATCATCCATGAACTTTATATTTATATGCTGTATTTTTTGGTAAAATTATAATTTTTCTTTATTGATTTAAAAAACTCACTGTTGAGCCTTCCAAAAGGAATCAAATTTAGCCATACAGAGAAAAAAATATTGCTTATATGAAATGAGAAACAAGGTCCATAGAGGGCTGGTTGATAGATGAAAGAGAAGATGGTTTCTGAAAAGTTGAAAAATTGACAGTAAGTGGGAGGTGGTTTGTAAATGTATTTTGGAAATTTATCTTAATATTTGAGTCATTTCTAGTTACCAAACTCAAGGCTAACTTAGGATTATTAGGTTTCAAGTTTGGCTTCTAAGATGAAAAAAGTTAAATATTTACATTTGCTTTATATACATATATATATGTATGTATGTATATATATATATATAGACACACACACATATATATATTCTTGTCATGTTTTATTAAGTAAGAATGTCAGGACGGCATTGAACATAAATAGTTACAGTGGTCATCCTGCCTAGTTCCTAATCTTAGAAAGAAAGCATTCAATATTTTATTAGTAAGTATGATGCTAAATGTGAGTTTTTTGTAGGTGGGCTGCATCTATTTGAATACATTTTATTGTTAAAAAATTTTAGAATTGTGGGGTACATGTGAGGATTTGTTACATAAGTATATTGTGTGAAGGTGAGGTTTGGGCTTCTGTAGTGGGCATGGCATTCCCCTCAGTAGAGGGCATGGTAGTCAATGGGTAGTTTTGTAATGTGTATATATATATATTTTAAGTTGATAAAAAGTATTTTCACATCCTCCTTCCTTAAGAAAAATATAACAGCTACTTACATAACAGAGCTAACTAACCCACACTACAGTCATTGTTTAGGAACAAATTGTAGCAGTTTGCATGAAACTTCATTTCATGAATAATTTTGATATGTCAACTAGGCGGGGCTACAGTCCAACTTCTTTAATCAAATACTAATCTAGGTGTTGCCGTGAAGATATTTGGGGGATGTGATTAAAGTCCATAATCAGTTGACTTTCAGTAAAGGATATTATCGTAGATAATCTGGATGAGTTTGATTCAACCACTTGGAAGAATTTAAAAGCAGACCTGAGGATCTCTTGAGAGCAGACCTTTTACCTGTGTATTGCAGTTTCAGCTCATGATAAGAACTACTCTTCAGATTTCAGAGTTGCTGTGCCAGTCCCCACAATCATGTAAATGAATCCTGAATTCTTCACAGCACATCTGTTACTATGTATCTCTTACTGGCTGTATTTCTCTGATTGAATGCTGACTGATACAATTTCATATTGGGAGTGAGGGGGGCTTCAATGAAGAGGGAAGGAAGTTGCCATGATTTGGGAGCACCTTGCCCCAGGCTGTGTCTACATGTACCAAAAGACTCAAGCCAGACAAACATACATGTATTTGTATATAAATACACACACACACACACACACACACACACACACACACACACACACACACACAAATCTCACATTGCAAACAGCTTGCTCCCAAATCTCAAACTCCTATGTTTAACGGACCTGAAATTTTTGACAGACTTAATTAATCAAAGGCAACAATGAAAGATTACTACATAACAGGAGACTAGGACTCAATACACATTCTAGATATTAATTCGTAGAAGAAAGTAACCATGCTACATGACTTACACCGAAGACATTTCACAGTTTGATAGAAAGTAACAATCATCGTTAAAAAACAAGTAAAATATTTCATCTAAATAACGATAGGTGCTGCTTGTCCAACCAAAAGAAAGGGCTTTTAACTTCTATTACAGTAGTCAAATAATCCCATCACACTGATATAAAAATAGAAGTATGTTTTTGAAACTCATAAACAATAACTTGTTCAAAACATGGTGTATTTAGATAAATTGGGTTTAAACACATTCCATGCTTCCCTTCCTTACCTGGACTGCATATCTTGCTGGGTTTTGGCCTGACCAGCTTCCTGCTGAGGAGGAGCGTGAGTGACTCGCTGCTGGAGTTCCACCAAGGACTGATAGTACTGCTGCTGATGGTGCTGTTGCTGCTTGTAGCGAGACAAACTGAAAAACAATCCTAGAATGGCTTTTAAGTTTCCATTTCTTATTTCTGTGTCAAATGGAAAATACAAAAGAATTATCATATAAATGGGATGTTCTTGTTAAAAGTTGAAATTCTAGAGATAATTCTCTAAAATTAAATTTATGAAGATAGAGATATAACTTGTTTCCCTTAGTCACAGATTCAAACAAATCTGAATTTCTGAAACATGATGACATTTCCAAATAGTTTAGAATTTCAGAGAGAGAACAAACCGATGGAGGGTAGAGGGTAGAAAACAAAGCTCACTCAAAAGATATATTCTTTGCTGACTCTGAACTACAATTTTTCTCAAGTTGGCTTCTTCTTGGTAATGACTGGGTTCTCTCTCTTGGGCTAATCATTTGATTTAGCATGCTGCTTTCTTCACAAATATACACAGCTGTTACCAACAGCTATGAACCAACAGTTCATAGCTGTGGCTATGAACTGGAGAAAGTAAGCCACTTAAATGTTGGTTTTCCTGCATTTATATAAATATTGATGTTGTGTGTGCACTTCATAGTACCAACTGGATTTATAGCAATAAATATTCCTTCTAAATCACTCACCCCCAATTTATTTATGCATATATAAATGCAAATAGTTTCTAAATATATATATATATATATACACATATCAAAAGATATATATGCATGTAATTATATAGCTTCCAAAAAGCAGAGTCATATCAATTTTAATGATCAATTCATTAATTTTTAATGTATGCTATTATTTAAAAAATAATAAAGATCAACTTACATGACATTAGATAACATAAATGAATCAAAGGGAAATCTTTGTTCTAACTGATGGAGCTCCTGTGTAAGTTTTTAAAATATTGAATTAAAAATATTAAATTCACAAGCAGACTACATGTATGTAACTTTTTCACCTGTAGTTACAAATTAAAAATTAAGAAAAGAGAAGGAAGTAAAGCTTGCAAGAAAGCTACACAACTTGCAATCATATTTTAAATAAAACTTGCTGTTGGTAATAAAATACACCCTCCTCTGAGATCAAGGTTTTGTGTCCCCCTTGGGAGTTTAGAAAAATTAACAAACTATTTAGATTTCTTGTTCTCTGATAGTTTATTATGTAACCTAAACTATGCAGTGAAATCATTCATATAAAGTGAACCTCTGAGGTGTGCTATTTTTCTCACAGACTTTTCTCACAATTTCCCTCATATTGAAGGGTTGGCTTGATTGACTAATCTAAAGCTACAGTGAGAAACAGTTCATTCTCGCCTATAAACTTGAATGATATTTTAAAGGTTTTAATATTTTTCTTGTTTTATTATTATGCATGCTCAATTTAGAAAATCATCCCGAGTACTTACATATTTTTAAAAGTTGAATATAGCAATAGGCTCATGTTAATAAAGACTGTCAAGTGAGAAGGAAAATACATAAAATTGAAAGAATGACAGCATGTCTAGCCTGCCTTTAACCACTTAGAAGGCAATATATTTTCTTTGGGAATTTTATATAAATGTTATTCTAAGCAACAAAACTACTAGTTAGGTGTGAACCTAATCTTTTGGACATTAAATGTGTAATTTAATTATATATCATTGTACATTAATATAAAAGAAATGCAAATATCATTTAGTGTTCTTAAGCATAGAAAATTTTATCTTATATATGACAAACTTTTGCAAATTTTTGCTAGCTTTATATATGAAAAAAGTTTTTAAAATGATGAAAACTAGTTCAGTTTTTTCCTACTTTGCTACTTTTCAATTTGAATGATGAACTTTCAAACCCTTAATGATTTAAAACCTTATATATAATAGTTATTAATGCTGTTAGTGCTAATTATTTAAGAATTAATACTTATTTAGACTTACCAAATATTTTGACTATCACTACTAGACTGAATATATTACAGAAATGTTATTGATAAAATAATATTTCAGCATTAATGATACTACTTTACCTGTGTTTATATCCATCACTTATATAATCATGAATCCACCTACTTAAGAATTTTTAAATACTACAAACCAGAAATAAAAGATATTTCATTGATTCACTCCCTCTCCCATATACTTGTTGATAAAAAGAACAGTTCTGGCAAAATATGAAAAATATTTAAATAATGAAAGCATACATGAATAATCATGTTAATGCTTCTACTGTTTTGGAAATGTTACCAGTTTCCTTTATTGTATGAAGGAGCTATATAGTCCAACATTACATTTCATACAGTATGAAACACTACATTCCTTACCATATGAACATTGATGTCACTTGTGACAATACAAGTCTTCTTGTTCTTACCTTCAGCAGATAGACCTTGAACATTTACTCCTCGGGCTGCTAGAAAACTAAGGCAGACATCAACATTTTCAATCTGCAATATGAAAAGCAGTGAAAAAGCAACTTAGAGGATTATTTCTTAGTAAATACATGAGTTAAAATGAAACCAAAGGAAAAAAAGATAAAGAATGAATACTTTACATTCATTGCATGCTAGAGGTCTTTACCAGGGTTTAACTAGAATTATTTTGGCTAATTGCAGGATGAATATAAAGCTTTCATTGTCCAGTTTGGTACTTTCAAACAATTCATAAAGGCCTGACAAAGAATGGCATTCTTGGAGATTAGCAACCCACCTACTTAACATAAAACTGGATTTTGTGCTTTTCAAATAAATCTTGGTGAAAGCATACATACAGGATGAGCCTGTTGCATGTGTGAGTCTTAGAATGTTAGGATGTGGGCAATAGAGATTCAACCAGTAACACTTGTTAAGTATGTCAAAAGATAAGATGGAGAAAGGGTTTATGTAACAAGTGAAGCATGTTTTCACCCCAAATCATAGAATATTATTATTATTATTATTATTATTTTGAGTTGAGATCTCACTCTAACGCCCAGGCTGGAGCTCAGTGTCATGCTCATGACCACTGTAGCCTCAACCTCGGGTGATCCTTCCCCTCAATCTTCCAAGTAGCTGGAACTACAGGTGCGTGCCAGCTAGATCTTAGCTGGTCTCAAACCCCTGGGCTTAAGCGATCCTCTTGCCTCCATCTCCCAAAATGTTGGGATTACAGGCATGAGCCACCATGCCCAGTTGCAAACCTTAATTTTAAAAATTGTATTTATTTATAGAGTGGAGTAATTCTCTGATTAAATATGTTTCCTTTGCTATTTTAAAAAGGTGATGTTCACAGTATTAAAATAGTTGGTTTCGATATGATTACCAGCTTGTAACCAGTTAGGAAGAGAAGCAAAAAGTGAAATGACTGATTTATATTAATTAAATGAGTGATTTCAACATTGGCTATGACATTATGCAGCAATTATACAGCTACAACTTTTAATAGGAGTGTAGAAAGCTAGACAGTTCCATTTCTTTGTGATTCATCTCCCTGGGTTTTTTGGTATTCCATATAAATCTTGAAATTCAAAAGCAAATAAAAGATTTAAGGTTAATAACTTGACAAGGTATTATTTTCTATCGTGTTAAATTCTCATCAAAAGCTATGAATAAATACACACAAATTCTTCCAGTGTCCTTCCTAGCTTAGCTTCATAACAAGGTCAAAATGTCTCAAAGAAAATAAAAAGAAAAAAATGAATACAAAGTACACAAACTACTTTGATTCATTTTAAAACGTAATTTCGTGTATAAATTAAATTTAAGTAATAATATCCAAAGGAATGTTTTTTGCTTAAAGATGACCACAACATGATCTAGTGAATATTATCCTAACCATCAGCATCTGAATATCCACTGAAGCTACAATGCTAAAATACATATCCAATTATTTTCTTTCTTCTTGTTTTACTCTGCTACAGAAATAAGATTATGTAAGGAAAGAAAGAAGGAGAAGGGATAACAAGTACTGAGGCAAATTGGAAATTCTATGATATTCAATCAAATTATTCTTTTAAATGTATCTTTTTGAAGTCCATTAAAATAAAAAAAGCCAAATAATTATTGTAGCTTAATATTAAGAAAGAGAATAGTATTAAACATTTTAAATGATTGCAATAACAGTCCTGATGTTATTAATTTTATAGCAATTATGTGCCTTTTATAGAAAGGAAGAAGATTTCTGACTCAAACATGTAATTTGCTACAAAGTGTTGACAGGATATTATTGACTAAATTTTAGTTACATTTATTATACATGAACAGACAAGTTCACCAAAAAATCCAGAAGAAGTTAACACATAGAGTTCATAATTAAATTCATTACATAATATTTTTAGTTTACCAGTTAACCAGCATATAAAATAAACTGCCTAGATTAGATGTTGGAGACACAAATCTCTGTTAGCATACACTGCAATTATAAAAGGAAAATAAAAGGGCCCTAATAGAAGAAAAAAATCTTTAAAATATACCATTCATTACTTTCAAATCTATTTATCAGGAGCATTCGACCTTTTGTACTATTCCCTTATATCAGTCATTATGTGCATTAACAACTTAAGATATGTTCATCCAGTTCCCCATTAACAGCATAGTAGCCCAGCAACAGATTAAGTACTTGAATACATAGTTTCCAATATGACTATTAAAGTCTAGTTTATTAGACTTTATTTATTCAGCAATGTTTGTTTATTGATCACAATTAATTTTCCAACAATGTAATTTTTCCCTACTTAATATCAGGTTATCTAGAAATTCAGGCATACTTGTTAGTACATACTATGCTACACTTTTTACACAGCAAAGAAAATTACAATAAAAAGAAATGGCTTTGAGAGACATTGTTAATTGTCATTTACATAGTCTTCTCACAGAGGTATACTTTAAAACAATTTGAGTGGACTTTTTAATGATAAAATAATATTCTTTGTTAGCAATGATTTTATTTCAATAGATTCTAAACATTATTTTGTCACCATCCCTGTTTCTTTAAAATAGATTGTCTGATAGAAATTGAAGATGTGTCCTGTGTATGAGAGGGGCGTGAGTGAACTTGACACACTCTGGATCAATTCTCCCCTCAGCTGCATGCAAGTCATTGGTCCCACAAGGGAGGAGTCCCAATCAGGGCACAGAGGCAGATGACCGGAGCCCAAATGTAATGGGGAACAAACCTGTGTTCAGACAGCTTCCAGTGCACCTTCCACCACTGGAGCCCAGGAGCTGGCTCCCAGGCTGTGAAAGTTTGCCTGTAGATTAAACTTTTCTGGCACCCACCACCAATATGTGGGGGTCAACCACATACCCAGATCAGAACGATCAAATGCTGAGCAAGGACTTTAATGGGGAGGGAGCAACATGAAAGACACCTGAAGTCATTCCTCCTAGGGAGGTATCTGGGCTGCAAACCATAAACCAGCAGACAAGGGGCCCATCCCCCACCTGTTCCCAGCAGAGAACTTGCAACAAATCTGAAAGCCAAACCAACTGGACTAACCACAGGAAAAACTCTGCAGCAGAGGTAAATTTTTCAGGGTGGAGAGCACAGAGCAGAAGTGAGTGCCCTCTCTCTCTTATTGGGTGTTCTACATTGTACAACAGAAAGGGCCATTAACAAACTTCAGAGTAACAAAACCAAAAAGGAAAGATAGGGAAGAGTTGCTCTTCACAGATGGGGGAGGGGGGAAGTCCACAGAAAATTTTTGGAATCTTAAAGAGACAACACCGGAAAAAGCAACTATCAGTGCACAAAAAAATGGAAGCCCCACAGAATGACCTGTCCCATATGACAGTCACAGAACTCAGGGATTGGTTGGTTAAAATGAATAAAGAGAACTACAAGAAACTACAAGTGAAATTCACCAAACATGTACAAGAATTAAAAGTGAAATGGACCAATTTCGAAAAGGACCATTCTGAAATACTGGAAATGAAAAACTAAGTCCTAGAAGTTAGGAAGTAGGATCAATCAGGCAGAAAAAAGAATTTCAGAGCTTGAAGACCAACATATGGAATGAATCCAATCTGTCAAAAACATAGGAAAAAAGCTCAGAAAGAATGACCAAAGCCTCTGAAAGATGTGGAACTATGTAAAAAAACAAAATCTACACCTGACCAGTATCCCTGAAACAGAAAGGGAAACTGAGAACACATAGAAAAAGCATTCCATGAAGTCATCCAAGAAAACTTCTCACATCTCACTAGAGAGGTGACCATTCAAGTGCAAAAGATTCAGAGAACCCCTGAAAGTTATGACAAGAGGATACCATCCCCAAGACACATAGTAATCTGTCTCCACAAAGTAAGCATGAAAGGAAAAATCTTAAAGGCAGTAAGAGAGAAAGGTCAGACCACCTACCAGAATTGCTCAAGACTTATCTTCAGAAACACTACAGGCCAGAAGAGACTGGAGTCCCATTTGTAATGATCTCAAAGACAAGTAATTTCAGCCAAGAATTTTCTACCCCACCAAGATAAGTTTAATCAGTGATGAAGAATAAATTTCTTCCCAGAAATCCAATGCAATGCCAGTACAATATGATGCCAATATGAGAACATGCTGCCTCCAGAACAGTCCATCAGGAGATGCTTCAGAAGGTGTTGAACACAGAAAAAAAGAAGTCATACCCATGAAAAAAAGTACAGGTAAGCACAGAGTTAAGTGAGCATATAGATCATCTACAAAAATGACAATACACAGATACATAATTACAAAAGTAAAAAGGAAGCAAAGCAACCTCATAAGAGCCCTATGACAGTGATTAACTCTCACATTTCAATAATTAATTTGAAAACAAATGGACTGAAAGTACCAGTGAAGAGGCAAAGAATGGCAAACTGGATAAAGAAGCATGATCCAACATTCTGCTGCCTCCAGGAAACTCATGTCATTGTAAAGGACACCCATAGGTTCAAAGTTAAAAGCTGAAAAATGACCTTTCAGGAAAATGGGAAACAGAAAAGAGTAGGGCTAGCTATTCCAATATCAGACAAAGCAGACTTCAAACCATCAAAGTTAAAATGGACACCGAAGGACACTACATAATGATAAAAAGCTCAATCCATTGTCAAAAAATATCCATCCTAAACATATTTGCACTCAAAACATTAACAAAAGTTTTATAAAACTACTAAGTAAACTAAGGGAGGACATTGACACTTACACAATCAAAGTTGGAGACCTCAATACCCTGCTAACAAACCTAGATATATCAGAGGCAAAAAACCAACAAGAAGATTCAGTACTTTAATTCAACACTTGATCAAATGGACTCAATAAACATCTACGGAATACTCCACCCAACAACTACAGAGTATACATTTTATTCATGAGTACATGGAACATACTCCAAGATCAATCAGATTCTCAGACATAAATCAAGTGTGAACAAATTTCAGAAGGTCAGAATAATACCTTGTATCTTCTCAGATCACAGTGAAATAAAATAAATATTGCCACCAACAAGATC